ATTTGGGGCAGGGGGCCTCCAATTGGGGATTATCCGGTACATTGTCCTCTCAACAATGAACGTAGGCGCGACGCGCCAGAGGGTGAACACGTGAAAGGTGCGTAAGAGTGGAGAAGGAAACTCTAGGTCGGGCAAGCGACGGGAAAAAGAGTTTCGAAATTGGCGCGCAGGTTTTGCAGCATTTGCTCAGTGCTCACACGGACAGCCAACGCCGCCCTGGTGGCTCAACTAATGTCTTGTTCAAGATGGCCGCCGTGGTACCGCAGCCTTAAGCCTCGAAATATGCTAAAAAAGAGCAAATGCCGAGCCCATTTTTGCCCGTTTTCGGTTTCTGGTGCCATAGAGCCCCATGTATTCGAAAACTTCGTCGGCCGCCATTTTTCCATTGAAATTTTCATAAAAGCATTTATAACTTTGGATTAAGTTATCGGATCGAGCTGAAACTTTGGCATCTGGTTGTGACCTCTAGCGCTACCTTTGGGCGGAGAATGAGCATTTGGCGATGCCTAGTTTATTTTTGCGGTGAAAAAGACCGTGTAAATTTTCTTTTGTGACACCCTGTATATATTTTTTGCGTCGAATTTTTTATACATTTTTTTTATCCAGCATACATTCGGTTAGAGGTGTATGCACTAGTTTTGAATTTTAAGCCTTTAAATATGCTAACAATAATGCTGATGGTGGGTTTATGGTCTATAGCTGTATATTTTATTCTTTGTTATAATAATAATCTAAGGGACGTTGAATAAATACTCATATAAAAGACATTTGTCGTTAGGCGTATAATAATAAGTTTGCAATCCAAACGTTGCTATGCCAAACGGTCTAATCAAGATATAAATTTGCTTTTCATCAGAATTGAACCTTTTTTTTCCAAACCCACGACAACCACCAACATGGTGAAATCACGTCACGTGCAAGCCATGTATATTGTCGCGAAGTTTTGCTCGCGTGAGTATTTAGTCTAGCTTCACTTTATGTTTTTGCCTTTTTCGAGAGTTCTTCCCGTCTACACGGGACGGCTGTTGGATTCCACGGGAGTCGGGGGGCCCCAACTGGGGGCGAACGTGAATGCTGTAACGCTACACTTAGTTTCTAGAACCCCGTGTTGGAAACGTTTTGTCTTGTGTATGTTTACATTTGGGATCTCTACTTCGAAGGTGGTTTTGCTCTGCGTATGTATAACGTCTGTGTCTAAGAATGTGCTTTCTATTGTTTATGGCTGCTCTTGTGGGCTTCGTTTGGAATGTGTTCTGTCTCGTATATGCGCTTGTTTTTTAGATGTTCGTATTTGCTTTGGGCTCCGAGCCTTTTGATTGGTGCTCAGGAAACCCCTCTTGATTGGTCCTTCCAAAACTTTATGATTGATGGACTGGAGGACCCCAGAATGCTGCTGAACCCAATATAAGCGGCGACGGAGGGGCCGTAAGGTCTTGGCTCCCGGATAGCAAGCTTTGGACATCTCTCTGCCTCTGGAAACCAACCTGCACATCCGACCCCCCTTCCGCTGTGGAGCCGTCCGCCCGCTAGCTCGCAAACTTGGGACCCCTTACGGCTGTGGAGGAGTTCGGCTCGCCCGCCTTTGTCTGGAACCTTGTTTGTCGAGTTTGGCAGAGGTCGGGGCTCCCGCCGAGGGTGTGTGTGGCCAAGGAGAATGGTAGGGAAAGTTTCCTTAGGTCAGGATTATTCCCCCAACATTTGCTGAAGAATTGGCCATATCTGCCGTAAAGATTTTATATCCTATTCCTTAAATAAACAATTGTTTGTTAACATCACTATCGTTCATCAACGGAGGAGTCCTTATTTTCTTCGTTACAATATAGGGACGTATTCAGGTGACTGCCCATCACGAGTGCAAGTGGAGCTAAGATTTTCTTCAATGTACGATAGTGGAAATACGTTGTCCCGCCCTCCCAGCTGGCGGCACCACGACACCCCTGAGGCATACGTACCATTCATGGCTATTATTCGTGGAGTTTGTTGGAACTTTTGACAACGGCATCGGCTTTACTCTGCGGAGAGGATGGCGCGCGAGGGGGCGAGCTGAACTTCGTACCCGCAGCGGCCGGATGCAGCCGTGGAGAGCAACAGCCGGGAAAGTCGAGACTCGACCCGAACGAAAGCTGGAACGCAAGCGAGCGGAGTACGAGAAAGTGGCGCGTCTGTTTGGAACGAGTGTGTGTAGTTTGATACACAGTGTTGGCTTTGGTTGAGATGGATCGATATTTATGAACGCAAAGAAGCAACAATTCCCGCAACAAAACAGAGCTTGCTTTCTTTGATCAGGCATGTAGAAGTCGTTTCATTTGAAGCACAAAGTTTGGTTCTGTGGCACGAAGCGAAGGAGAATAAAACCTAATGAGCTTTGCTGGCCTAGTTTCGGGCGTATTATGTAAAAAGGCTCGCCGTGTACGAAACAAAATATTCACTGTGCGAAATAATATTGCACCGAGACGATAATGTTAAGTTTATTCTCTATTTTTAAGTTAAAGTATGGTGAACAATTCGTAAATGTGTCTGGCGCCACGTATTATTGGTGTTCGCTATCTGGACGGACAACGACAAAAATCATAGAGACCGTGAAAAATAGATACGCAGAGACAAAAACCGTTTATATACCTTTGACAATACTTTGTCTGCAATCTGGATTTCAGGTTTCCAGATAGAATCCAATATAATTTCCAGTTTCATAATCAAGGTAGCGAATAGTCACATTGACTTTTGGAGTAGTAGTAGCATAGGCAGGGGTTTTTCTTTGGGGGGTTGGGGAGGTCCGAGGTTTTCAAATTAAAACTATCACGCATGTTTTGCGGTGGATTGTTCCTTGTTTAACATATATTTTTAATCTAGCAATCGAGAACGGAACTTTTCCGCAAAAGATGCAGGTAGCAAAGGTATCTTTGCTATATAAAGCTGGAGATAAAAACAACCTCGAAAATTATAGACCGATTTCTGTCTGGCCGATATTTTCAAAAGCTCTAGAAAAAAATAATACATCACAGGTTGTATAGTTTTTGCGAAAAGTTTTCTATTAACGCCCTGTCAATACGGATTTAGGAGGGGTTTCTCTACCGAACTTGCCTTGTTAAAACAAAAGGAATTAATTTTAAACACTATTGAAAAAAGTTATTAACACTCGGAGTATTCATAGATTTTTTAAAGGCGTTCGGTCGCATTAATCTTGGCACGTTACTTCAAAAGCTGCATATCTATGGCGTTCGCGGCGTTGCTCTAGATATGATAAGAAGTTATCTTAGTTATCGGTACCAGTGTGTTGAAATAAATAAAAAAACAATCGGATCTTAGGAAACAAACTGCCGGCGTACCGCAAGGGAGCATTTTGGGACCACTTCTTTTTAATCTATACATAAATGACATCGTAAATATTGATAAAAATGTGAGTCTCATTATTTACGCTGATGATACTAGCATATTCTTTTCAGGTGATGATACTGATCAGATTATAAGTGCCGCAAATATTTTTTTGGAAAAGTTAAATACCTGGACAAATTCAAATTCATATAAAAATAAATGGCAGTAAGACAAAAGCCGTATTATTTAGATCACGAAATACAAACTGTTTCTATACGTCCATTCTTTCTCTTGGAACACACTGTATAGATATAGTTGAAAGCGTAAAAGTTCTCGGAATTATATTTAATCAATACATGTCATGGGACGAAACTGTACAACAGACATGTCTAAAATTATCAAGAGTTGTAGGTATTATGTGCAAATATCGCCACATCCTCCCGATCTCGGTTATGCTCCTTATATATAATTTCCTTTTCTACTCAAGATATAATTATTGCTTCTTGGTATGGGGGAATACGACCACTACGAGCATAAAACTGCTACATATTCTACAAAAAAAAGCGGTTCGTATTATATGTAATACTGAGTATAATAGTCATACTAGTCCATTATTTATTAAATTGAATATTGTACAGATTCCTAATCAGTATTATAAACTTTTTATTGCATTGAAAAGATCTTTTTGCCAAAAAGAAAATATATTCATATCTATTTCCAACCTTAGGATGAGGGAGGTTACTTATGAAACTAGGTCTGCAGACGCATGGTTAGTGCCGCACTCTAGAACGAACTACGGAAATCAGACATTGAAATATATAGTACCTCGTTTTTTAAATCGCCTGAGTGAGTTGAATGTAAAAGTTTTGAATGAAACCATAAAAAATGTACGTTCCATGTTTGTGAGAGAGTGCCCCTGGAATTTGTAAACTTGGCTAAATCGATTACTTTTCCCCCTTCTCCATCTAATGTTGTTTATTTTTGTGCCCTAAGTGTGATGGTGAAAAAAACATTTGTATGTACACGCTGTCTTCTTTCGCTGCTGTGGGGAGGCAGAGGCTCGTCAAGCAACAACTGAGTTGCTTTTTTCTCTGTCTCCCCTCTCCAAACGGAGAGAAATAAAGAGTTTGAGTTTTGAGTTTGAGGTTGCTGGGATGTCCATAAATTAGGGTACCGATAGAAGGAAGACGGGGTCCAAACTTTATATATATATTACAGGGTAGGCAGGATTTCGGGGGGGGGGGGGGGGGTGAAGCCCCATAAGCCTCCCCCATGGCTACGCCACTGTGGGGTATGGATATTAATCTATTAAGATAGGCTCAAGCAAATGGGCGTGCGCCTGTGCAGGGTGAGGAATGCTACGATATCGAACGTCGACATCGTACGCGAAGGAGGCTAGACTTCCGAGGCTGGGCTTGAAAGAGAAAGAATATACCTGTGCCTCGCATATTCTTGATAAGACTCACATGAAACACACGGCACTGAAATGAAACAGAATACCGACTAAAGAGCGGCAGATACTTCTGGCGAGTGTTAAATTTGGTTCTTTCTGGACTCTGCCCCGCTCGAGAGAAACATTATCAAGTATCGTATCTTGAGTTCCCTACACTCAGGCAGCCGCGTTGTGTTTAAGCACACTCCACTGATACCTGGCTCACTTTTATATCTTTGTGCGCGACGGGCTCGACATCGCTTTCTTCAGTCGGGGTCTAGCGAGGTTTATGGTTTACATCCCATCAGGCAAAAGGTTACCGCAAACACGGGTATTGCTTTCATGCATATGTATGCTGCCATTCTTCTATTCCTAATCCAGGCGGATATCCAAAACACCGGCGTTAGATTTGGACAGGCACATCTACAGCCTTTGTGTCTGACATATTTTCACCCTTTGAACGGCAAGACATGTCCTCCGGTCGGAAGATTGAGCCTGGGATGGCAGCAGCAGTCTCCGGTACCTTCGTGGGGTCCTTCCCAACAGACGCTGGCAGGGACGTCCGGAGGGTACCCCAGTATGCGGCTCCTCGCGAGGTCGGCTGTTTCTCGGTCGTCGGAGAGCATCGGGACTTCGTGAACGGCCGCGATGAGCTCAAGTACCTGTGCATGCCGAGGGAGCCCGACGCGCTGAGCTGGAACCTGAACAAGGGACTGGAGGACGCAGTGTGGGCGAACTTCGACGAGCCGGAGAGACTAGACAGGCTCCTGAGGTGGATAACGGAAAACCGGAGGGAGGTCACCTCGGATCGAGATCCTCAAAGGCAAGTTGGTTTCTCGATCCGCAAAACAAAACATAAACAAGTATATATTTATTGAAAAAAAAGAAGATTGCAACTGTATTTATTTTTGAAGGATCTAATTATAGGGGTGTGTTTATAAAGATAATTTTCTTTATTGAAATGTATAATTTCCGTTTTTTTTTATTATTGCGAAAGTTTCCGGGTATTACTTTTAGCAAAACTTGAAACCGGTGTTCCAACTTTTTATTCTTTTTTATTTATTTCCTTTTTTTGGGGGGTGGGGGGGTGGGGGGGGGGGGGGGTTGGTGGGTGTTATTTTTGAAAACATTTTAACAGCAAACCAAGATTTGTACGCTCCCTGGGTTACAAGAGCTATTGAAATGCTGGAACTTCGGAAAGCATTTCAATAGCCGTACTTCTCTGCTGAGATGATTTGTCAGAAATACCTTTTTTTTTTGTTATAGTGCGCATGCTTTAAGCTGCGTCGTTCGACCGACTACGAGACGCCTCCTCTCAATTAGCCCGTTTATAGGCTCTCCAACCCCTATGCGGAAAAGTAGACCTACAGGGTGTTTCACAGCGCAGCATTTGGGCATCCTTATTCGGTCGGTTACATTAGTGGTGCATTCGCACGACGGGGTTTCTCCCCGATGAGAGAATTAAACATAATCGAGTTTTGAGGTCACGCGCTCTGCGTCACGGGTGTTCGCTAATCTCCCGAGCTCGCGGGCATCCGACGAAAATCTGCGACCGGCCTACAGAATATCCGTCGTCCCGTCTTAGCGACCGGGCCTCCTCGTTTGTCCCCCTGCATTTGGGGATGGATTATGAATGACCAACAGCTTTGAAGGGGTGATGAAACGATATCGGGTTGGAATGTTTATGGCTCTGCAGAGGCATACTGGTCCTAGTATGGCCCAAGTATACTCGCACAAACAGCCACTGATTTAGAAGCTCCTTTGTCGCGGTGAAATTGCGAGAATAAAAGTGGACTATTTCTTTCAGTCTTGGCTCCGCAAAGCTCGATGACGTAATTGTGGGATCGAAACCAACCCGCCTGACGACGGTCGAGCGCGGCTCGTGGGTTGGACACGAAAACTGCGTGAGCACTCGACTTTGGCTCGTAACAATCAATGTCTCGACGGACACTCGGGTCACAGTGGCTCGTGTCCAATCACTGCGGTGATAAAAACAGCCGAATTCTCACAATGTCTGGAGCTAAGCACGAGTCTACTACTTTCCCAACACCAGCGCGTGGGTATGACTAAAGTTGGCGGCATAGGATAGGCACCAGGCCACGTGACCGCTTGTTCTGGCTCCTAGGTGAGGGGATAAACGATTCTCATATTTCCCGAATTATTTGGGCGACTGCGATTGCCTATATAGAAAGGAAAACTAAGGCAAGTTTCTCTATAGTCGGATGCAACCTAAGAACAATCTTTTAGCTCCACCCACAAGCGCATTGCGCCCATCTGAAGTGCGTCCGCCGTCGAGAAAGTAGTTCGCTAGCAACGTTGTTTTTTCTTCCTCCAGGAAACGTGTCTTAAACTACTACAATATTTATTTAATTCATTCAGGACATTTAAATAATTTAGAATACGTTTTTGTCAACGAAATGGCTGTTTAGTAAAGAAAGAAAGTCATGTCCAATGTACCGTCTTCCCCATTCATTTTCTGTCCAAGATACTGTCTAACATACCGTCTAACATACCTCTCAGCAGTGCTAAGCCTCGCACCCGCTTCGAAATTTTCGTTGGCGATAGCGTCGTTGGATTCTCACGTTGTTGCGCCAAAACTGCTGCAAACGCAAGCCGATACCATTAAGATTTCGTGGCGTAACCTCGGGCACGTAAAACACGGTGCAAAAAAGCAGAATAATTGTCACGAGAAACTAGCGTCGCGTTGCTAAGGCCAGCAGCCATGTTGGGCTTTTTTTTTTTTTTTTTTTCAAAAGGATCGCGATTGGTCCACGGAGTCCTGACGTCATGAAAACGATTGGCTGGCGTTTCTCGGCGTAGGATTACATTTTCCTCCGAGAGGCATTTCCGGTTTTTTCTTAGCTTGCAACCGACTATAGTTATTAATATTGGAGAGAGATTCTAAGTGGTATTTAGCGAAAGTAGAAAAATCGTTCCATGACTCCTTTCACAGTGTGGAGCGTTTTTTTTGTTTTTTTTTTTCTTTTTTTTCTCAGTTTTTTGTTTGGTGAGCTTTCGAAGGTCGCCAGGAGGTCCGCGAAAAGAAAGACTCAGACGACTCAAATACATGCGACTTCGTGGTGCAAATGCTCGCTCGCCCTATACTTGTTTTTTCTTTTTTTCGGAAGATCAAGACTTGTGCGAATACAGCATAAGTCGCACTGCTCCTATATTATCCAAACGACACGGTACCTGCCACCTCAAGAATCTTCGAAGCCTTCAAGTATGCTTTGTCCGCAGTCAGTTCTCGTGTGACCAATGTCACGGGACCGTCATAAGAGAATGCCTCGGACAGTGTCTGCCGACTGTCTTTGGAGTGACGCGTTAGCATTGTCCGCGGCTTTAAGTCGGGGTCGCTTATTAGCGGCGAGATGTTCTGATGGCGCCCTCCTATGGTTCCCCCTTGTGACGTCATTACCTTGCGAACAACAAGTTCGATGGTGTTTGTAAATGGCATGGTGGAAGCCTGAAATCATTGCGCTCTCAAAGCAACACTGCCAACACCGTCGAAATTAAAGTTCTTTCATTCCTCTTATTTCCGTCGATGGTATACCCTTTCCGACGTCATAGTCAGCTTTTGGGCCAATCGTGGAAGGCCGACCACAGCGACGCTTTCGGTCGCGCACGTCGCCAATACATCGCGCAAAAGAGAGTCTGAAAACAGATTCGAACGCAACTCATCACGAAATACGTGCTTCGGATGGCGCATGGCAACTAGTTCGGGGAGAAACTTGACACGCGGCATTCGAACCGCGGATATCGCAGTGGCTGATGCCTACTCACTGTCTTTTGTATGATGTAAATATAAGCGGTGACCCTGGCTCTAGGGAAACAGATGACAAACGCTGCCTCGAGTCAGGTAACATATATGTGCACTGCCAGCAAAATTATGTCACGCTCGATCATCACCAACTTGCCTGCTAAAACTAGGCTCGGAAACGGGCAATATTGGTTAATACTTCAACGCTCAATGACAACTTAAAAAAACGCAGGGCGTGGTACGTCCAGGTTTCTCGCTTCGTGATTTTACCTTCGGCGCATGTATCGTCTAATGTCTGGATATCATTGGCTGCGAAGCGACAGCCCGAAGAAATTACTCGGTAGTTTTCCGAGGCCGTTTGGATAGCTCGTTGAAGAGAGCAATAGTTAACAAGGCGGCGCAAGTCGATCTCGGCCGCGTATTGCCGTTCGCTCACGAAGTAAAACCATGGATCAAATCTTGGGTGTTGATTGGCCTGTTTGAACGTTCCGCTCTTTCGCAAGCAGGAGGCGATATAATGACCCTTTCGCGCTCGCCCTTTCCTTGTTTGAGATAAGTACACAGCTCTTTTCAAGGACGGCGGTGGCGTTTCCCCTTTTTGGAGGTGCAGTGCATGGCGGAATGCGGCGTGTTGTATCACGGCGGCTCGTGCCAACCCACCTGACCCCCTCATTCACGCCGCTTCGCGGTGACAGTCCGTGGGGGCATATTACAAGGCGGCACAAGCGGTGCGGCTGGACGATCGATATATGTGGAAAACAAAAGGCTCACTGGGGTGCTTGTTACCAGAGGCGGATTAAGGCATATCGGGGCCCTGGGCTAAGGACGCTTCCGGGGCCCTAACGATCATGATGATGGCGACGATGATGATGATAATGATGTCTGGTTAAGGCAATGAACTTGGGAAATACTGCAGTTTCCTTTATTTTTTAATCAATATAGAGTAGTCTCAAAATAAAATAAAAAAAAAAAAAATTACCATTCCCGTCTGGCTTCAACTAGGGAGCACTCCGGCAAGACCACCGCGGAGACGGCATGCAGCTTTGTTCCCTTCCCCAGAAGCGTCGAAGGCCGCACTTTCAAAGTGTAAGCGCTGCTCAAAAACGGGTGTTTGCGCGCACGAGACACGAGCCCGAGTAGGGTGAGGGGGGAGGTGTTTATGACATTTCCCTTCCTGGCAAAAAAAAAAAAAAAAAAGAAGGGCGAAACACCCCAGATCGTGGGGCCCCTCGCGTGTTTTCTTCGTTTGCTCGAAGCCGCTTTCAAAAGAAAGCGGACAAGCACCCTAAGGGGCCGGTCACCCACCCAAAGGGCCGGCTTTGTACAGGGATAGAAGTGTGCTACGCGAAGTGCGCGTTCGGCCTCGCTGACATCGCCATTATCTTTGTATATCCCTCTTCTCGAATGCTGCGGCAAAGCAACATCGCTTTCCGAAATATTTTCAGGTTTCGTTTTTTTGTGTTTTTTTTTCTACGAGCTGCGCATGGGGGCTTCCAGAGAGTCGGGGCCCGGGGCTGCAGGCCCCTTAGCCCGTACCTTAATCCGGCCCTGCTTGTTACCCACTCGACCCCTTCGTTCAGGCCGCTTCGCGGTGACAGCGCGCGGTGGCACCTTACAAGGCGACACGATGAACGCAGCCGACGATAAATATTTATCGGCAAACAAAAGAAAGCTAGTTTTTGGGGGGCGAACGCAAACCCCAACACCGGGTGGTGGAGCGCAAGCTGTGCCAATAAAACATACAGAAAACCAGAAAAACGCTCAAAATAAAGGTTCATTTACACAGGCACCTTCGCTTAGGTTTTCCTACATGATATTATGAGTCCCCGGGGCATACATACTTCGCTTGTAGCCTACGCAGCTGGTACTTGTATTGCTGACAACGGTATACGAGGCACGAATGGCACCGATGGAATATCCAGTACCATTACTCAACATAAGAAAACGGGCACTGTTTGAATGAGCCCTCCGAGCGATAAATAACGTCAGAGACCGCAACGGACGTCAGTTTACGGGTGTGAAATAATACTTAAAAAATTAGTTACTTAAAAAAAGATCGGGGC